CTGGTCTTGCTCAGAAAGGTCCCATGAGAACTCCTCACGGCAACAGCCGTGAGGCTTCTGTCCAGGCCACCTCGAGGTCGGACCCCTCCTCACGAAAATCTGTCCGTCTGCAGTTAAGACGCACGAGCATGTCTGAACTTTACAAAGTTCGATTCGCGCAGTAACGACATCATAAAGAACACATGAATATGCTACATGCGTACGGTGTGTTCTCGCTGCACGCGGGACAGCAGGCAAGATAATTGACAACAGCGCCGTAAATACCCGGCAAATAATGTTGAGCGTTGTTGCTCCAAGATAGTCGTGTGCATTGATCGCCGTGGCTCAGCCGGCTTCAGATATCATGCCATAACGTCCACATAGCACTTGCTATCCCATTCATATGTATCTCGTTGAGCGGCGAACCCGAGCCGATGGCGGACGTCTCCGGTACTGTTTCACTCGTAATATTCTTTCTCGTACGCCCGCTCTGTATCTTATCCCGCCGCGATGAGCCACGTTGTTATCGCCGCTGTGCTCGCGTCCTTGTGTCCACCTCCCCTCCCCGCTGATCACGTGGGTGGCACGTTTCATAACGTCATGACGCTCCGTCCGCAGGCATTCCGTACGCCGAGCCTCCGCTGGGACCGATGCGGTTCCGGGCGCCACAGCCTCACCCGGGCTGGACGGGGGTCCGCGACGCCAAGGACCACGGCGACGTGTGTCTGCAGTACGACATGTTCGCCGGTGGTGTGATGGCCGGCTCTGAGGACTGCTTGTTTGTGAACGTGTACACACCAAGCCTACCCACCTCGGACAAGCATCCAGACCTGCCGGTAATGGTGTGGATCCATGGCGGGGGTTTCATCAATGGCTACGGAGACGCTGAATTTTACGGCCCGGACTATTTCATGGACGAGCAGGTGGTGCTGGTGACCTTAAACTATCGTCTTGGGCCGTTCGGCTTCCTAACCACGGCCGACGCTCACGCCCCCGGTAACTACGGCCTGCATGACCAGGTGCTTGCCCTTGAGTGGGTGCAGGCCAACATCGAGGCGTTCGGCGGCAATCGCGACGACGTCACCATCTTCGGCGAGTCGGCCGGCGGCGCCAGCGTAGGCCTGCAGGTGCTGAGCCCGCGCTCGCGGGGCCTCTTCGCCAAGGCCATCAGTCAGTCAGGAGCGTCGTTCTGCAGTTTTGGCGCCAGCGGAGAACCTCAGGGACAGATGGCGCGAGAGCATGCTGAGGTGCTGAACTGCGACACCACCAGCAGCCTCGCTGTGGTAGACTGCCTCCGCCAGAAGCCCGCCGAGGAGGTCCTGTCGGCCATGTCAAAATTCACTCAGGATGCGCTGATGGGAATGGCTATTCTCTACAAGCCACGTGTGGATGCTGAGTCGCCGTCGCCGTTTTTACCCGAAAACCCGTACGTGGTTCTGAAAGAGGGACGCTTCAGCAGGGTGCCCTGGATGAATGGGCTGAACAGCGAGGAGGGGGCGCTTACCGTCGCCTTGCATGCCGGGGCCAAGAAGGCCCCGCCGTACCAAAGTCGCGACTGGAATGTCTGGGCTAAGGAACTGCTGGAGATCACCAAGGTGACGGCAGACCCGGCTGCAGTGGCGCAGCGCATCTACAAGTACTACTTCGGCGATGACGCCGTCACCGACGCTAACCGGAACCTGTTGGCAGACATGTTGTCAGACAGAATGTTTGCCAGTTGTGTACTGAGCGAGGTGGACCTGGCCTCGGCTCACACCGATGTGTACAGCTACGTGCTTGACCACAAGGGGGTGGGGAGGCAGAGCTTCACCGAAATCATGACTAAAGTCATGGGGATGGAGGACAGCAAGGATCTGGGCGTGGCACACGCGGATGACCTGCTCTACCTCTTCAAGCCAGAGTTCGTAGCACCCATAACACCGGACTCAGACGAGTACAAGATAATTCGACTCATGGTGTCGCTGTGGACCAACTTCGCGCGTCGAGGATACCCGAGCACTGACGTGGTGCCCATGCCCAGCTGGCCGGTCTATACGGCCAGCCGTCAGGAACACATGCGACTCAACCTAGCGCCGTCTGTAGGCCGCGCCGCCTTCAGTGTGCGGATGCAGTTCTGGCAGCAGCTCGACATCCAGGAGAATTGGCGCCAGCCCCAGATGGGACAGCGCAGGGATGAGCTTTGAGCGACGCTATCCAACAATGCTGAGCTTTCGGAAGCGATATTGACGTGCACGGAATGCTTGAAAAGCCTTAACAATATCGGCCAAAGCCTCGTTAGAGCGGTGGTGCCGTTCGTCGGGAATTTTGCATTTCCGATGATGGCTGAGCAGACACAACATAAATATGCATGACATGAATCAGACACTGTTAGTGGTTTAGTGGTTAGTTGTTTCAATGTTTCAAATGCACCATTTCTCCGCATTTTCTCTGGATTAGCTCGGCGCTTGTGGCATTGAGCAATATCTCCTCAGAATCGTATAATTATGATGTTATGCTTGCCACTTTACAAATAAAACTACGAGTTTAAAGTCTTCTTTCAAGCATGCGCCAACAGATTTCGTCCCGCTAGCTAGAAATCCTTTGTGGCATTGGGCGGAGAGTTGAAAGTTTGACCACAGAAAGACCACACAGAAGTGAAAGAATCCATTCATGAAAGCTGGACCGGAGGTTGTCAGCGGGAGATGTTCCGGTCAACAAAAACATACATTCTGATTTAGCATGCAATTAATCTCATAGACGACATGCTCTCATTTCCCAAATATTAGGTTGCTTTTTAGTGATCTTAGGAACATGAACAAGTCCGGTAATCAATCATTTTTTGCGGACAGATAAGGTTGAAAGTTAGGTGTCCCAAAGGAAAATGAATCCTGTATTCAAGGGTAGGCTTCTTTCCGCTTCCCTACAATAAAAATCAGCATACTTGGCATTGTTTACAGACAGACAGAGTCACCTAACCTGCCGAAGAGTATAATCCTCGATCATAATCACCTACCTACACAATGGAAAAGTCAACTAAGCAAGAATATCCTTGTACTTTACATATTCCAATGGTGGAGTATCGCACCCATGATGGCTTAACTCACCCAGTGTTTTAAAGCTTCACAATAGATATGGACGATGGTTTACAACTGTGATAGGTGTATCACGATCAACGCCTTTGGCCGAAAGCGATGCCATGGATTATCTCACATCTTTCACAATACCATGACTATATAGATATCACATCATGGGTTGTCTTAGTGTTATGAGGTTATCCATGGCGATGCAAAGTTTCAACTAAGGCTATATAAACAAACATTTATCTGTTGCAGCTGCGCCATCTCTGTTCCTAAGCCATGCACCGAAGGATCTGGAAGAGAATGGTATCCAAGGTATCGATTCCGGAACAGCTTATATTTATCATCATGGAACCACGTTACGAGCGAAAAACTGCCAAAAGTTTTCAAACTCAGGAGACTTTGTATGAAGAGAATTGCCTAGGCTCAAAGTATTTTCCTCATTTGCTATGCATTGCTAGCTCTAGGGTGCCTATCAAACGTGCTTCAGTAACTGGCAAACACAAAGGCAGTCTTTTTATATCCTCCCTCGTGGTGATGCCGCCTTGCAGGGTGCAGCTGATTAACTTGAAGCCACAGCCTCAATCTGATGTCCTCAATTGAGGGATAAAGTTAGACATTGGGGTAAACCAACTTATAATGTGACTTTTTCTGGCATACGTAATGTGGACTTTTTTCGCGCAACTGAAAATGATGCCGACAGCAATGATTCTTGGTTGTAAGATCTGATAAGACAACAAAATTGGGTTACATTTTTGGCGTGGCATCGATAGTGCAGATTATGGGTCCAGTTCTGCCACAAAATGAAAAAAACGTACAGAAAATAACATCTCGTGACAAATTTTCCACTTCATTCCGTGCTGAACATAGTCTGTATATTGCGCAGGTGGTTATCAATCCCTGTAAACTAAAACTTTTCCAGCAAGTTTTAAAAATGTCCATATTTTTGGAACCTCGGAACTTTTCAGAGTCGTTATCTTTATCCAGTCTACCATTCGTATAAGTCCACTGTTCTTCCGGGACTTATGACTATATGTCAGGACCTGTGGCTGTCTCTGGCTCTTTTGCATTCTGGAGTTGCACCGGGGTTGCTCGGTCCTGATTGGTCGTCCCGCGATTTCATGACTAGCTCAGTAATTCAAAGGGTGTTCAGGGAACCCTGCGGTTGTCAAAAGGTCTCGCGGGAGTTTCCATCGCCCTTTTGACGGTGTTCGGCGCTTTAACAATGTCAGGTCCAGTAACAGTCTGAATGTTCCTTCAGTGTCTCGAAATCTTGTTATTTCGGGCGCCCTGAGAACCCATTGCTCTGCAGGGCTGTAATATGGGCTCTTCTGGAAGAAGTCTAAAATTCCATTATGTCATACACGGCTCACTGAAACAGAATGTCTCTATGTTTATTTGCTCACCCCTTCTGGTACGCCGCGATTAGTTCGCAACGGCGCACAGCAAACACGCGAATCCAGCGAAGGCTATGTGCTCCACATGCCAGATATTTATTAAGGAGCAGGGATTTCAGCCAGGCTGAGAACATCCCCCCGGCGCTGGCACGGCATTTCCAGGTGAAGGAATAAGCTCCCATATCTCACGGGGGCGGGCCGATGGGCTCTCGCTGGGCCGGTCAGCGGGGCCCGGAAGTCTTCAACCCACTTTCATCCCACCACAGGAAGGACGACCCTCCGCATGAGCATGCCGACTGGGGCGAGGCTCACCTGTGGCTGCGCACCGCAGCAGTCGATCACCCGCACGCCAGCACCTAACCGCCCCCCCCCCCCCCCCCCTGCTGCACGTCTCACCCGCCGGCAGAGCAGCAGGACGTCCCGCCGCCCGTGGCCAAGGTCATCGATCACTTGAGCAGGACGGGACAGGAGCGCCGCCGAGCGCGGCGTGCTGCGGCGCCACGCCACGGGGCCGGGCTATAATCGGATGTCGGTTCGGTCTGGCGCGCCGAGGCAGTCTGGAGCGAGCGGCGGCGGTGTGGGCTGCATCTGCGAGACCACAACCGGCGGCTGGGAGGTGCTCAGGACACAGCGAACGCCGACGGCCTGGGGTCATCCACATGGTAACTTGCAGTTCAGCACGGTTCGACTGCCACTGGGGAGAGCCTGCCATTTTCGCACGGTTTGCTGTACTTTTGTATGGTATTATTGCTTCTTTTTCAGCGATGTGTTTTTCGTACAGTATTATATTCACTTGTGTCCTATATCCTTTGACGGGAATCAAATATCAAGCGACGCGTTGCAATGATTCATTAATAAGCTGGCTTTGCTCGTTTGGTTGTCTTGTACTTCTGCAACTAGTTTATAAACTTTTGTCAACCGTGATGTCTCGACCTAAGAGCAGAGGGATTGATTGTGCTGAGCCGACTTAGTCCTGCACGTCCTTTAAGTATGCGATTCATTTAGTGAGTTGCTTAGCGACGAGATCTAATTGTAATAAAAACGCGTCAGATGGCCTTTTACGGCACGAAGACAGCAAATGTGATACGTTTTTCAGTATCGCGTGACCTTGATGGCCAGTCCAAGCATAAATGACGAAACGCTTCACGTCGCCAGAGTTATTGGTCGAATTAACTAGCGTCTTTCTTAAGACCTGGCCTCTCAAGGTCAAGGTGCAAGATCATTTTCGAGGTCAAACTTAAAGGTAGAACTCAAGGTCAAATGACGCAAAATTTCATACCAACCAAAAGTTACCGGCTGTGCAGCTGCCACACCCATTCTCTGGCTCGCAACACGGCGAAAAAGCACCTTCTGGGATGTACGTGCAGATATAGCGGCTCTGGTTCTACATAAAGCTGTATCCATGCCAAGGATCCTCATGCATCATCGTGCCGGTTTCTGCAATAGTGCTTCAATCTATAAACACAGACGGATAACGGAATCGTTCCGCAACCAGATAATCCCAGGACGGTCAAGCGTGTCATGCATCACACATAGTTACGATAGAATCAAGCATAACTCTATTAATATACAGACCAAGCAGTGTCCTCAATGGGCTCATATGGCGCAATGCCGGGCTTATTTCGTGGGGGAGCTCACAGAAAGGAAAGCGGCAGGAGGCGAAATTGGCGCGCCACAGACGAGCATAGAAGGATGAGGAGATGAGTTTAGGGTACTAAATTTTGAAACTATGTCCGAAGCCTGTAGGCTGTTTAAGGATTGTTGTTTCAAAATCTTCTTCAGCGCGCAAAGTAGCGTCCGGCAAAAAGCCCTGACCTCTCAGGGTCAAGCATGCAGGTTACGTTCTAAATAAATTCATGAAAATGCATGGCAATTACGGCTTTGAAATCCGATGGAGCTTTGTTTGAGTGAAATGAAGGAAAACTTCATTTGGCCTCACTTTGACCCTCTCTAATTCTGGGCTTGGGGCAGCGTCTCAGCTTTTGTATGCGTGTGCAAACTACTCAAATATTAATTTGGCAGTATTTAGACCAAACATTATGAACCGATTATATCGAAGAGCAAACTTAAAGTGAAGGCAGTGTACCGGTTGCTGCAAAAGGGCGAAATAAGGCATATGAAAACCATCACCGGTAAAACGGTCGAACTCACCGGTCATGGCAACTACATCTGCAGCATAGTCAACCGGAATATAGGAGCAATAAGTAAAATTAGGTTTTCCATTGCCAAACATACAGCCTTCATCTTGTGCCGGTCATTTATTCTGCCCATGTCGACTCCTGTATGGTATGGTAAGCAGTTATACCAGTCGTCTTGGCATATGAGCTGCTTTACAGAAAAGAGTAGTACAACTTGTTAAATAATTATATCTCACAGCCCTCCTCTCCCCCCCCCCCTCCCCTCCTCATAGCTATAAACTTGAGACGGACCTTATTCTAACATATCATTCCGCAACCCGTTTCGCCTCGGCCAGTTAGAGATCCAGCCCGCAAAATCCCACTGTGCTTCCATGGTGACATGGCATTAAACCACATGTCTTAATTTAGGCACAATCTGGATCGTGTATCTACTACACTAAAGCCACAATGCATGTAGCATTGCTGCACGTCCGAATGCAACCATTAAAATTCCGTACCATTCAGCACAGGCTAAATGGTGGGGAATCTTCTATTGATATTTTAATGAAAGAAAGAGCTGTTGGCTTGGTGCGGTTGTGTCAGGTCAAATTTTACATTTCACAAAAGTAAGGGCGTGGTGCATGATAATACAAAATGTTCGTAAAAATCCCCCATGTTTAACACGGGCGACGAAACTTTCGCGACCACCGGACGACGACACAGCCCACGTCCACTTCCTGAGCCAATCTCGATAACCAAGGGTCGTAGTGACATTAATCTTGCGCAGTCAGATAGAGAGTCGCAAGGGCCCTGCGATAGTATCATATCGGTGGTGCCACGCCACACGAGGCACGTACACACGAAGTGAAAATATTAAGTCGTTCGCTTTTAGCTGATTTGTTTCGTTTTGGGTTATATCTCGGCACGCAGTGCAGGTAACGACGTGAATTTTAATTCCTAACATTCAAAATTGGAGCGGCTACATTTGCCGTGTGCATCGCGAGTTCGCGCAACGCATCGTTACGCTGCAAATTGCAATACAAGTTGCAAGCGGCAAGTTTTGTTGGAAGTTTTGAAAGTCGGCGGCAAATACAATCCGCTAACGTCAAAACTATCTGGATTTGAGTGTTGAAAAATATATAAGCGTATTGCCTGATTTATCGCCACTCCTCACCGCCCTTTCGTTAACCACATTTTGGAATGGTTCGCTCGCAAACCAGCCAACGCTCCTGGGATGCATGGTGGGTCTTAACGCCGCAACGGAACAGCGCTGTTCAGTCCCTCGGTTGCCGCTGGCGGTTGTTCAAGGTGAAACAGCTGTCTTGATGACGTGTCTGGTTCCCTATTTCACTGCCTCCGACCGATCATGCCATTTCGAACCAAAATTTCGACAACGGTGGGTCGGAGCGACACGCGAGTGGCACGAAGAATGTACCATGCGAAATGGTATGTTCGCATGCATCACGTGGCACGCGCTCAAAGATGAATTTTGCTCCCTTCCGCGGGTTTACGCGTTTTGTGTCAAATATCGGCATCTAGGGCACGGAGCCAATGGGGGGGGGGGGGGGGGGGGTATGCATTGATAGGGAATCGAACAGACAACTACGTGACATAAATTGCAATGCCGCACGTGCTGTGAGTCACGTGTGCGCGAGCCAGGAAAACGTATTTGGTGGTAACCGGCCGTTTTTCACATTTTGTGCTGCCTCTCGACAGTGAGCTTACCGAGAACCGTAATTTGAACTGCAAAACGTACACAATTCCACATTTAACGTTTTCATCTTAGCGCAACAAAGCAAGCGTGCAAACGCTTCTCTACTTCTACTATTACATTAAGGGAACAACGGGTGTACGTACATTTCCGCCATCAGTCTTTGAGATCATGCGCATTTTAAAATGTCGGTAAGGATTTTTTAAAAAGAAATTTTCACCCTCCCAGGGGCTGCTGGCAGAGCGCGACAGTGTCACGTCAAATTTTTGCATTTCGCAAAAACAATTGTGTGATGAGAACAACAAAAGATCACAAAAGCCCCCATAGGTTTAACACGGGCGACGCGACGTCCACAACCACCGGACGACGGCACGACCCGCGGCCACGCCCTGAGCCGCATCTCGATAACCAAGGGTCGTAGTGACATGAAACTTGCACAGCCAGATAGACAATCGCAAGGGCCATTGGATGGTATCAAATTAGTGGTGCCACGCCATGCGTGACATGTGAAGACATGGTGAGAACACAGTATTTTCCTTTTTGACGAGTTTTTACGGTTTTGGTCATATCTCAGCACGCAGTGCAGGTAGAGGCATGAATGTTGTCTCTTAGCATTCACATTTGAAGCGGCTACACTTCCAGTGCACATCGCGAGTTTGAACAACGCACCGTTGCGCTGCAAATTTCAAGACAAGTTGCAAGCGGCCAAGTTTTAAAAGTCGACACTTATTACAAGCCGCTACCGCCAAAACTGTCCGGCATCGAGTGTCGAAATCAACACTAGGATGCCGGCCGATTCATTTTGTGTCTTCACCAACCTTTTGCTGCTCATATTTTCACAATGGTTGGCTATCAAATAAGCTTAGACTAATTGGATGCATGGCGGCTTTAAACGCCGTGACGGAACGGCATTGTCCAGTGCCTCGGGCGCGGCCGACAGTTTTTTTTTGGGGGGGGGGGGGTTAACGGCCGCCTGACCACGTGACTGGCTGTCGTAATTAACTACCTCCGACCGATTATGCCATCTCGCACCAATATCTTGACAGCGGCGGGTCGGAGCGCCATGGGAGTCGCACGCAAAGATGTACTATGCGAAATGGCAAATTCGCACTCTTGAGTAGCACGCGCTCAAAGATGGATTTTGCTCTCTCCCACGGGTTTGCACGTTTTGTGCCAGATCTCGGCACCCATGACACGAGCCCACTCGGGAGTGGCACGCTTCGATAATGAATGGGAGGTTTGACTTGACAATGTGTGGTGACACGCCTCACGTGTCATCGGGCCCACGTGTTGGACTATGGATTTACATGTTCTAGCTATTTTGACGGGTTTATACATTTTTGCGTTATCTTGACACTCAGGGAATAAAGGGCGTCGAGTGTGGCATGCTCCGATAGGTAATCTAACGGGCAATGTCTCACACGTTTACAATGTGATGCTGCAGGCGTCACGTGACGCGTGCACATTACCTATGAGGATGTATTTAGCCGATTTTGTCGATTTTTACATTTATGCGAGATTTCCACTCTCAGGGCACGAAGTGACACGAGACTGGCATGCTGTGATAGACCATTGAACGGTAAATCCCACGGTGTCACAAGTGCGGGGTGACCGTTACACGCCTCGGCGACACACAAGTCAGCAAGATGGGTTTGCTCTCTTCCACCGGTTTACAAGTGTTGTGCCACATCTCGGCACCCATGGCACTGACATATGCGGAAGTGGCATGCATCGACAGGGAATCGAACGGGCGATCAATTAGCATAGGTTGTCATGTTGCACGTGCTGTGTGTGACGCGTGCACGAGCCAACAAGTGGGTTCGGCCATTTCCAACCATATTTTTGGTTACGTTCTGCAGCATATATCGGCATTTATGGCAGCTAAAACCATCAATCAGACTGCAAAAAATAGATTATTCAAAATTCAACGTTTTCTCACCGAGTGTAGCGAAGCCAGCGTGCAAACACTTGCTGAGTGCTTATTTTGGACAAATATATGACACGTGTATGACAAATATAATATCAGTATAATCAAATGCACAACATTGTTTGCCCATAACCAGTGATGGTGCCTTGAGAACAGTGATAAAAGCGCTTGGATTACACAATACCTATAGTACAAAAAGGCTGCCTTAACACTGTGATGTTGGTCTCAACTACAGCTGCAAAGAAGAGGGTGGAATTTAAAACGGCTCCTCACTACAATGTATGTGGTGTGATTGTGCGGGATGTGTGCGCACGCCCTCGCTGTCTCCCGACCTCTACATCTGACTGGGTGCCGGGGGCGGCGCGTGACTGCGTGTCTCCCGACTCGCCGGGGGTCAAGGGTCGGCCGCTGAGGCGGCGGCAGGCACCCGACGCTTGCAAGTGGCAGTCGGTTTTTGGACGAGTCCGGGCGAATATACGCTACTACAATGTACCAGTCATTTCACCCCTGCCTGACGGAAGGATTAATATACTGGGTTCGTATGTTGCACTGAATGAAGATCATTCGGCAATATTCCTTACGCTGCCCAAGACCTGAAACCTCTTACTTTCTGAGCCACACGTCAGCGAAGATGTACAGGCTTTTTGTGCAGGCTATTTCAAGGTCATTCATGCATCCAAGACGCCGTAGCAACGCCATTGAAATCTTGCCACCCATACGCCCCATGTCGTTCATGACCAATAAAGATTTTATCGTCGAGCCGTTCAAATCTGGTGTTCGTGAGCGTGACTTACAAAGCAAGTGAACGTCAATTTCTCTCAATCAGCGTTGAGCGAGTTACGAAAGTTGCAAACAAAGATCACGTTTTGTGCTACATTATATAAAATGTTGGAATGATTGCTTGCTTGTTTACGGAAATAAGACTTTTGATTGAATATGGGAAGAAAAGCTCCATAACCGAGGACACAAATTCAAGTAAACATCTTAAACTCACGGATAAATATGCACGAGCGCAATGAGAGAGAACGAGGACACGAGCACATAACCATGTTTGGCTCGCGAAACACTGCCAGCACTATTACTGCCATCTCTCGACGAGTTTGAAGTGATGCAAGTGAGTGCTGGGGTAGCAATTTCGCACGGCTAGTGTGCCAGAACCTTGTATGATACAAACGTTCCATGACGCAACAAAAATAACGCATTGAGGAACATATTTACTAAATAGAGAAGCTGCGTTGTTTACACCAGTATTTTCCACTTCAAAGCACACTAAATAGCTAACAGTGAGCTTATTCCAGCGGATCTATCTGCTTCTTCATAGCTGATCCTTTTTCAATATATTCAAATTCGGAAGATCCCCGGTAAAGTTATATGTTGTATGGGTTTTCGTTCAAAAATTATTTTGTAGTACAGGAAAGGGCGACAATGCTAAAAAATGGATTTAGCGACTGTGTCAGATAAATGCAATTCACGAGCCCTAAGCCTCTTCAAGAAGAGTAAAAGAAATGACAATTTAAATGGCATGAAATGAGTTGCTCTACCAGATAATCAGTTTGCATTAACCAGTTTGCCAGTTTAAGGGCGTTGGTAGCACGCAAATACTGGCGCAGGTTTGCCGCCCATAGGCGACTAGGAGGCGTCTGGTGTGCTTGCTTATTCTTAGCATCGATAACGATGTATTGAGCTACTGAGTGGAAAACCGAACTTTCCTGAAAGCTGAACTTTGAAAGAGCCATCAGGGCCCATCGAGGTTAGCCCTCCTCAGGTTCCGCACACATCCTCGAAGCTAATCTTACCACCTGACTTGTACGATTTAAGCTATAAATAAAATATCTTAAGACTGATAAAATTTGTTCGATAAGTTTTTAAATGTTACTAGAGAGGGACCTCCTACAACTTCGTTTGTCAGTTCACCTCAATGGTTCACTGCTTTTTGGCTAAATGACATCTGCCTCTTCATAGCTCTTCTCCTGCCTTTTCCTAAATGAAACTGGTTTCCTCTATGTATCGACCTGATTTCCAGTGCTCTATTTGGATCTACCTTGTCTATCCCTTTCATCTTATCGAATACCTCTATCAGATCTTATCTAAGTCTACGATAGTTCAGTTTCATTACGAATCCAAGGCCCTCAGCCTATCCTTATGATTTAAGACGTCAATCCTATCTACGAATTCCAACCAACGAATATGCCAAGAAATGATATACCAAGGAATACGAATATGGCTGATTTTCTCCATGATGACCGACGCATGGCGGGCCGCACCGTTAGCCGGATGTTTTGCGATTGGACACGCCAGGAAGTAAGGAGGCATTGTGGTAGCTGCAATGCCTTAAGACGCACCCGTGCCTTAATTACATGGTTGGACAAGCACATACCACCACTGCCTTACTCGCCCGGTATTTTGACACGTTCCGTGACTCTGGGGACTAAGTCTGTGTCGTGCTTTCTTGCGCCCCATCACTTTCAGGTTGTGGACAACAGCTGAAGGTGACTGTCATGTTCCAGATGACGGTGACTATGCAGCTTCTAGTGTTGCTATGCGCACTAGGCCTTATGTTCGGCACAGCAACAGCCGCAGGGGATTCTATCGTGTCGACCAAGTCGGGAGATGTCCGAGGCGTTGGGATGAAGTCCTTCCTTGGGGAGGAGTATTTCTCCTTCAAAGGTAAGGGATGCAAGTGGTATGTTGCAAATTGGTTGTTCCTTGTCAGGAATAAACTTACAACTCGGTAGGCATACGATTGAAGGGGACATCAATTTGACGTGAATCGCACTTGATCTAAGTAGCCTTAGACAGCCTGATTCTTCGACTGCGTCAAATTAGGGCTGGAACTAGGAATAATATCAGTGCGGGAGGAACGAGGCCCAGAACTGAACTAGTAAGTAAACTTATAGGCGAGTTGCGAAGAGGCGAAAGGCGAAGGCGAGTTTACGAAAACGAATCGCACGGACCACCTCAGCTAGGTGCCCCTTTTGTGTTCTCTGTCGTATTATGCCTAGTATTGTGAGAAGCAGATGACTCGGCATTTGCAATAATAGCAGGAGTGACTGTGACGCGAGCGAGTAATCGTGCTTTCAGTGGCAATGGGAAACTAGACCTTTTTATTCGATGACTTTGTCCAATGATGGCTTCAAAAAGATATTTACCCTAAAAGGGAATGATCCATGTTTGCAGGCATTGAAGCAATCACTACATATGACGAAATGAGCTCATTCATGCCTAGTGATATACTTTAGATTGAAAAAGACTGCTCTAGACAACAAACTTTCTATATTTAGTGAGTATACCCCTCAATGCGTCATTCTTTGATGGCATCAATGAACGTTTGCATGACGCCAAGGTGCTGCAAAACTAGCCGTGCGAAATTGCAATCGTAGCACCCACTTGTAGTTCTTCAATATCCCGATAGGTGGCTGTGGCGGCGCTGGGTATTTACTGAACCAAATATCTTAATGTGCTTGTATATTAGCCCTTTCTTGTGGTGTTCTTGCATATTTAAATGAGAGCTTAAGTTTTATTGTAATCACACACTTATCTATGACACCATTCTTAATTCATTCTATTGCAAATTGCATGGGCGCAGCCAGAGCCTTGGCGAGGGAGGCACAGGGCTAACAAAGAACACCCTGATAGTAAAAGGGCTCCCCCAAAAAATGCGGATATGGCCTATCACCCCCGCCCCCACCCCTACCCCGCCTCGTACTGGAATCCCTCCTGCTTTCATAATAAATTCAATCATGTAAAGATGAGTGCGGTGTGCACTTTTGTATTGACTCCAAATCTGACATATGATTTACCAAAAGCACATGCTACGTTATGCAAATTACTTTCAGCAAAGCACACAACCAATAAGTGACGTCACTTGCTCTGCCTGTTTTGTGGATCCACAAAAAAATAGGTGACAATGATGCAAACACGTCTTTGGCTTCCGCGGCCATACAACATGCTGCAAGCATCAGGCTGCTTTACTCAAAAATATTGTTCACACAAGTAATAACACTTGCATAACATGAAAATGACACTGCAAACCTGCCGACCTCGCACAACGCTGGAGACATGACAAGGGCATGTAGTTATGGTTAGATGGGGGAAATCCAGGGAGGTGCTGAAGCTGCGTGTGCATACAAGGCTCATGATAAAATATAATTAAGTGCCACCCAAGAAACCAACAGCCATACTTCTCCACCTTTCTCAGCATCCAGCATCTCAGACAATTTTTCACAGTTGTATCATGCGAGTTTGTACCAAGCATGTGCATTAACGAGCTGTGCTGACCTTTTCCTACTGCCCAGATGAATTGCAAATATCATGGCGTGCAATCTATTAATTACAGGCTGTAATACCTCAACAGGCTCAGAATGTTGGCAGGATCACAATGAAGTAGCAAACTGCCTTTGAACACCCCCAGCAGCATGGGTGGTAGTGTTTCGTTCAGTTTACCAATATCAATACTTTGTCATGTTTAAACACAAAATCTAAGATATAGGGCAGTGTCAATATATCACATCTTATTGGAGGTCATTATATTTAAAGAATATCAAAATACTGTTCTCTCTCATAGGTGCAAACATCGCAAGCACACTCTCTGTCACATCAAGATCAATACAGGCCACTGGCACGCACCACAAGTGATCACACCCATATCAAGCCCCTGATTCACACTCTAATGTCAATAAGTGTGATCCGACACTTGCAACACCCGCGTGATTATCAAATTGCAGGTTTTCTCGCAATGTCCGCACAGGTTTTTGGTTATAATGCAACATTTCACAGTGACCTCCTTTCAAAACAAAGTCCCAGCGGGGGTTCATGGTGGTCGTACTTGTCTTACACAATTGTTTGCTCAAGATTTGAATTTGTCGTACAATATGGGTGAAATGTTTAGTATTATATATATATATATATATATATATATAAACTAATTACTGTAATATTTCCCTAATTGTATAACGCCTTGCTAACCCATAAATCCGTGCAAGGTGCTTTGCTCCGGTACACAAGGCGCCAGTCGAGCTGTCTGTAAGAAATACGTCAGTGGAAGAATAAAAGAAACGCCAGTAGGAGAAAAAAAACATATTTGTCGTCGCGTCTTCTTTTTATAACAATCGGGAAAGTGCCGTTCTTTTTCCGATGCCGTATTTTTGAGACATTGGCGTGCTCTTTTTTAAAACATTGATCTATGGCCTAGAAGTAAGGGAAAATGTCCCGCTGACGAGTGGCGCACAACCCGAAGGTGCTCACGTTTACGCTCGTGACAGGTATTTAGCAGCGAAGTCTTACTAACAGACAAGCACCTTCAGCGGATTGTATGATACGTGCCGTACCACCGCTTTTCTGAATGTATCAGCGGCCATGCTGTTTTGACAATAAGCAGAAAACAGCCTGTAATATAGCGGCGATCGTATGACGTTTCTATGGTGACATCAATGCCCAGATGACTGAAGTGGTCTCCCAATAAACCTTTTCCCACTTTTGCGGACGTGTAACTCAGGAACCAGAGGGGTTTGTGTCTTAAAAAAGGCATGGCCGTGAACTGCATCTAAAGGTCCTCAAGATGGCTATTTCAGTTAAAACCCCCCATGTAAGGCGGAACATTCCCTTTAAGGAATGTGAGAATTTGAGTGGCGGTATTAGGGCGTCATGAACACCTGGATGGTCTTGAAACTGTATCCCGAAACATTCTGCATGTCTTCGCGGGCGTGTAGCCCAGAAACTATAGTGGTTAGGGTCTTAAGAAGGGCATGCTGTTGAGCTGCACCGAATGACCTTCAAGATGGTCATTTCAGTTCGAAGCGCCTACAAATATGGCTTCATGTCCAACATATGTGGTAGTCTCCCGACATTATGGGTTATGAAAGAAAGGGTACCACATACGCATAAGGTTTTTAAATTGAAATAGCCATCTTGAACATAATTCGGTGCAGTTCACAGCCTTGCCCTTCTTTAGACCTAAGCCCCTTTAGTTTCTGAGCTACGCACGCGCGAAAATGTACCATATTTCGTGTAGACAACTTCAAGGTCACCCATCCACGACGCCATGATAAAATCCTTCATGTTCTGCCATTACATTGGCCATGTGGCGATTATGGCCAATAAAAACCTAGCTGTCGAATTGTTCCTACCTGGCGTTCGTGAGCACGATTCACAGATATAACGGTTGTGTGTTGGTTCTCAATGGTCTCTCAATCAATATTGTGCGAGGTACGATGACGGAAACAAATGTTGACGCATTGAGGAGCATGTTTACTAAATAGAGAGGCTGTGTTGCTTAGAGCAGTTTTTCTGCTTAAACGCATGCTAATGATTAAACATAGTCTTATTTATTTTTGTCAGATGTCTTCATATGTCTTCGCTGTGACTTGACTGTGATATGACTTCAATGTCTTCAAATGTGGAACATTCCCTTTATGACAAAACTTGGTTCGTGATCAAGACGTGCAATAAGCAGCGCAATCTGGCTGTAAGTCAGTGACTCTCTGACTTTGTGACACTCGGTGCTGCATCCACGCAACCCCAAATGTTTAAAGGGAGTGCTCAACAATTGTATGGTGTTTTCAACTGAAATAGCCATCTAGAAGGCCATTCGGTAAAGTTCAGATTTCTGCCCTTCTTAAGACCTAAACCCGCTTAGTTGCTGAGCTACACGTCCGCAAATATTTGCAGAATATTTTGGGGAGACATTTTCAAGGTCACCCGGGCATCCGTGACGCCATAATAACATTATTCTTAACTTCTCCTTCCATTTCCTATGCGGCGATCAAGGCCGAGAAAAATATGGTAGTTAAGTCTTTGAAATCTGGCGTTCGTGAGCCTGATTTCCAGACATAACGGTCATCAATTAGCTTGCAACCAATGCTGTGCAAGGAATGATGGCGTCATTTACCAATGACGTAGTGAGGAGCATACTTACCGAACAGGAGAAATTGTGTTGTTTAGGGCAATCTTCTTCACTTAAAAGTATACCAAAATTTGACATGGGCTTGTTTTACCATATCTGATGCTTGCTTCAACATCTTAAAGATATGGAACATTTCCTGTCAACAACCATAGTTTCTCACCTGTTTAAGACATCATACATGTCTCGGGGAACTTCTCATAGGTGGCACGTAGTATGGTGCACCAGCACGCATGGGTCAAGCTCAGAAGTGAAAGGGATTGAAGTCAGAAAAAGCGTGTGGCTTTCAGCTGCGGGGAATGGTTATGGCAATAGCTATATCCGCTTGAAACATGATGCAAATGTGGAAGAAGTCCTTAACTGTTGCAGGGATAGCCCCATTGAAAACCATATTTCAGAACTCCGTACGTAGCGGTGCAAAATTCAATCATCGTGGCAGCTTCGTTTTGCCACTCATTTCCGTCCCAGTTGGTGCCGAGGCATCGGCTTCATCACTGGTCGTGGGTAGACATTTATGCAATGAAGAAATCCGAGCGAGTTGTGGCTACCTTGATGACGTCATAACGCCCCGTCCGCAGGCATTCCGTACGCCGAGCCTCCGCTGGGGCCGATGCGGTTCCGGGCGCCACAGCCTCACCCGGGCTGGACGGGGGTCCGTGACGCCAAGGACCACGGCGACGTGTGTCTGCAGTACGACATGTTCGCCGGTGGTGTGATGGCCGGCTCTGAGGACTGCTTGTTTGTGAACGTGTACACACCAAGCCTACCCACCTCGGACAAGCATCCAGACCTGCCGGTAATGGTGTGGATCCATGGCGGGGGTTTCATCAATGGCTACGGAGACGCTGAATTTTACGGCCCGGACTATTTCATGGACGAGCAGGTGGTGCTGGTGACCTTAAACTATCGTCTTGGGCCGTTCGGCTTCCTAACCACGGCCGACGCTCACGCCCCCGGTAACTACGGCCTGCATGACCAGGTGCTTGCCCTTGAGTGGGTGCAGGCCAACATCGAGGCGTTCGGCGGCAATCGCGACGACGTCACCATCTTCGGCGAGTCGGCCGGCGGCGCCAGCGTAGGCCTGCAGGTGCTGAGCCCGCGCTCGCGGGGCCTCTTCGCCAAGGCCATCAGTCAGTCAGGAGCGTCGTTCTGCAGTTTTGGCGCCAGCGGAGAACCTCAGGGACAGATGGCGCGAGAGCATGCTGAGGTGCTGAACTGCGACACCACCAGCAGCCTCGCTGTGGTAGACTGCCTCCGCCAGAAGCCCGCCGAGGAGGTCCTGTCGGCCATGTCAAAATTCACTCAGGATGCGCTGATGGGAATGGCTATTCTCTACAAGCCACGTGTGGATGCTGAGTCGCCGTCGCCGTTTTTACCCGAAAACCCGTACGTGGTTCTGAAAGAGGGACGCTTCAGCAGGGTGCCCTGGATGAATGGGCTGAACAGCGAGGAGGGGGCGCTTACCGTCGCCTTGCATGCCGGGGCCAAGAAGGCCCCGCCGTACCAAAGTCGCGACTGGAATGTCTGGGCTAAGGAACTGCTGGAGATCACCAAGGTGACGGCAGACCCGGCTGCAGTGGCGCAGCGCATCTACAAGTACTACTTCGGCGATGACGCCGTCACCGACGCTAACCGGAACCTGTTGGCAGACATGTTGTCAGACAGAATGTTTGCCAGTTGTGTACTGAGCGAGGTGGACCTGGCCTCGGCTCACACCGATGTGTACAGCTACGTGCTTGACCACAAGGGGGTGGGGAGGCAGAGCTTCACCGAAATCATGACTAAAGTCATGGGGATGGAGGACAGCAAGGATCTGGGCGTGGCACACGCGGATGACCTGCTCTACCTCTTCAAGCCAGAGTTCGTAGCACCCATAACACCGGACTCAGACGAGTACAAGATAATTCGACTCATGGTGTCGCTGTGGACCAACTTCGCGCGTCGAGGATACCCGAGCACTGACGTGGTGCCCATGCCCAGCTGGCCGGTCTATACGGCCAGCCGTCAGGAACACATGCGACTCAACCTAGCGCCGTCTGTAGGCCGCGCCGCCTTCAGTGTGCGGATGCAGTTCTGGCAGCAGCTCGACATCCAGGAGAATTGGCGCCAGCCCCAGATGGGACAGCGCAGGGATGAGCTTTGAGCGACGCTATCTAACAATGCTGAGCTTTCGGAAGCGATATTGACGTGCACGGAATGCTTGAAAAGCCTTAACAATATCGGCCAAAGCCTCGTTGGAGCGGTGGTGTCGTTCGTCGGGAATTTTGCATTTCCGATGATGGCTGAGCAGACACAACATAAATATGCATGACATGAATCAGACACTGTTAGTGGTTTAGTGGTTAGTTGTTTCAATGTTTCAAATGCACCATTTCTCCGCATTTTCTCTGGATTAGCTCGGTGCTTGTGGCATTGAGCAATATCTCCTCAGAATCGTATAATTATGATGTTATGCTTGCCACTTTACAAATAAAACTGCGAGTTTAAATTCTTCTTTCGAGCATGCGCCAACAGATTTCGTCCCGCTAGCTAGAAATCCTTTGTGGCATTGGGCGGAGAGTTGAAAGTTTGACCACAGAAAGACCACACAGAAGTGAAAGAATCCATTCATGAAAGCTGGACCGGAGGTTGTCAGCGGAAGATGTTCCGGTCAACAAAAACATACATTCTGATTTGGCATGCAATTAATCTCATAGACGACATGCTCTCATTTCCCAAATCTTAGGTTGCTTTTTAGTGATCTTAGGAACATGAACAAGTCCGGTAATCAATCATTTTTTGCGGACAGATAAGGTTGAAAGTTAGGTGTCCCAAAGGAAAATGAATCCTGTATTCAAGGGTAGGCTTCTTTCCGCTTCCCTACAATAAAAATCAGCATACTTGGCATTGTTTACAGACAGACAGAGTCACCTAACCTGCCGAAGAGTATAATCCTCGATCATAATCACCTACCTACACAATGGAAAAGTCAACTAAGCAAGAATATCCTTGTACTTTACATATTCCAATGGTGGAGTTTCGCACCCATGATGGCTTGACTCACCCAGTGTTTTAAAGCTTCACAATAGATATGGACGATGGTTTACAACTGTGATAGGTGTATCACGATCAACGCCTTTGGCCGAAAGCGATGCCATGGATTATCTAACATCTTTCACAATACCATGACTATATAGATATCACATCATGGGTTGTCTCAGTGTTATGAGGTTATCCATGGCGATGCAAAGTTTCAACTAAGGCTATATAAACAAACATTTATCTGTTGCAGCTGCGCCATCTCTGTTCCTAAGCCATGCACCGAAGGATCTGGAAGAGAATGGTATCCAAGGTATCGATTCCGGAACAGCTTATATTTATCATCATGGAACCACGTTACGAGCGAAAAACTGCCAAAAGTTTTCAAACTCAGGAGACTTTGTATGAAGAGAATTGCCTAGGCTCAAAGTATTTTCCTCATTTGCTATGCATTGCTAGCTCTAGGGTGCCTATCAAACGTGCTTCAGTAACTGGCAAACACAAAGGCAGTCTTTTATATCCTCCCTCGTGGTGATGCCGCCTTGCAGGGTGCAGCTGATTAACTTGAAGCCACAGCCTCAATCTGATGTCCTCAATTGAGGGATAAAGTTAGACATTGGGGTAAACCAACTTATAATGTGACTTTTTCTGGCATACGTAATGTGGACTTTTTTCGCGCAACTGAAAATGATGCCGACAGCAATGATTCTTGGTTGTAAGATCTGATAAGACAACAAAATTGGGTTACATTTTTGGCGTGGCATCGATAATGCAGATTATGGGTCCAGTTCTGCCACAAAATGAAAAAAAACGTGCAGAAAATAACATCTCGTGACAAATTTTCCACTTCATTCCGTGCTGAACATAGTCTGTATATTACGCAGGTGGTTATCAATCCCTGTAAACTAAAACTTTTCCAGCAAGTTTTAAAAATGTCCATATTTTTGGAACCTCGGAACTTTTCAGAGTCGTTATCTTTATCCAGTCTACCATTCGTATAAGTCCACTGTTCTTCCGGGACTTATGACTATATGTCAGGACCTGTGGCTGTCTCTGGCTCTTTTGCATTCTGGAGTTGCACCGGGGTTGCTCGGTCCTGATTGGTCGTCCCGCGATTTCATGACTAGCTCAGTAATTCAAAGGGTGTTCAGGGAACCCTGCGGTTGTCAAAAGGTCTCGCGGGAGTTTCCATCGCCCTTTTGACGGTGTTCGGCGCTTTAACAATGTCAGGTCCAGTAACAGTCTGAATGTTCCTTCAGTGTCTCGAAATCTTGTTATTTCGGGCGCCCTGAGAACCCATTGCTCTGCAGGGCTGTAATATGGGCTCTTCTGGAAGAAGTCTAAAATTCCATTATGTCATACACGGCTCACTGAAACAGAATGTCTCTATGTTTATTTGCTCACCCCTTCTGATACGCCGCGATTAGTTCGCAACGGCGCACAGCAAACACGCGAATCCAGCGAAGGCTATGTGCTCCACATGCCAGATATTTATTAAGGAGCAGGGATTTCAGCCAGGCTGAGAACATCCCCCCGGCGCTGGCACGGCATTCCCAGGTGAAGGAATAAGCTCCCATATCTCACGGGGGCGGGCCGATGGGCTCTCGCTGGGCTGGTCAGCGGGGCCCGGAAGTCTTCAACCCACTTTCATCCCACCACAGGAAGGACGACCCTCCGCATGAGCATGCCGACTGGGGCGAGGCTCACCTGTGGCTGCGCTCCGCAGCAGTCGATCACCCGCACGCCAGCACCTAACCGCCCCCCCCCCCCCCTCCCCCCTCCCTGCTGCACGTCTCACCCGCCGGCAGAGCAGCAGGACGTCCCGCCGCCCGTGGCCAAGGTCATCGATCACTTGAGCAGGACGGGACAGGAGCGCCGCCGAGCGCGGCGTGCTGCGGCGCCACGCCACGGGGCCGGGCTATAATCGGATGTCGGTTCGGTCTGGCGCGCCGAGGCAGTCTGGAGCGAGCGGCGGCGGTGTGGGCTGCATCCGCGAGACCACAACCGGCGGCTGGGAGGTGCTCAGGACACAGCGAACGCCGACGGCCTGGGGTCATCCACATGGTAACTTGCAGTTCAGCACGGTTCGACTGCCACTGGGGAGAGCCTGCCATTTTCGCACGGTTTGCTGTACTTTTGTATGGTATTATTGCTTATTTTTCAGCGATGTGTTTTTCGTGCAGTATTATATTCACTTGTGTCCTATATCCTTTGACGGGAATCAAATATCAAGCGACGCGTTGCAATGATTCATTAATAAGCTGGCTTTGCTCGTTTGGTTGTCTTGTACCTCTGCAACTAGTTTATAAACTTTTGTCAACCGTGATGTCTCGACCTAAGAGCAGAGGGATTGATTGTGCTGAGCCGACTTAGTCCTGCACGTCCTTTAACTATGCGATTCATTTAGTGAGTTGCTTAGCGACGAGATCTAATTGTAATAAAAACGCGTCAGATGGCCTTTTACGGCACGAAGACAGCAAATGTGATACTTTTTCAGTATCGCGTGACCTTGATGGCCAGTCCAAGCATAAATGACGAAACGCTTCACGTCGCCAGAGTTATTGGTCGAATTAACTAGCGTCTTTCTTAAGGCCTGGCCTCTCAAGGTCAAGGTGCAAGATCATTTTCGAGGTCAAACTTAAAGGTAGAACTCAAGGTCAAATGACGCAAAATTTCATACCAACCAAAAGTTACCGGCTGTGCAGCTGCCACACCCATTCTCTGGCTCGCAACACGGCGAAAAAGCACCTTCTGGGATGTACGTGCAGATATAGCGGCTCTGGTTCTACATAAAGCTGTATCCATGCCAAGGATCCTCATGCATCATCGTGCCGGTTTCTGCAATAGTGCTTCAATCTATAAACACAGACGGATAACAGAATCGTTCCGCAACCAGATAATCCCAGGACGGTCAAGCGTGTCATGCATCACACATAGTTACGATACAATCAAGCATAACTCTATTAATATACAGACCAAGCAGTGTCCTCAATGGGCTCATATGGCGCAATGCCGGGCTTATTTCGTGGGGGAGCTCACAGAAAGGAAAGCGGCAGGAGGCGAAATTGGCGCGCCACAGACGAGCATAGAAGGATGAGGAGATGAGTTTAGGGTACTAAATTTTGAAACTATGTCCGAAGCCTGTAGGCTGTTTAAGGATTGTCGTTTCAAAATCTTCTTCAGCGCGCAAAGAAGCGTCCGGCAAAAAGCCCTGACCTCTCAGGGTCAAGCATGCAGGTTATGTTCTAGATAAATTCATGAAAATGCATGGCAATTACGGCTTTGAAATCCGATGGAGCTTTGTTTGAGTGAAATGAAGGAAAACTTCATTTGGCCTCACTTTGACCCTCTCTAATTCTGGGCTTGGGGCAGCGTCTCAGCTTTTGTATGCGTGTGCAAACTACTCAAATATTAATTTGGCAGTATTTAGACCAAACATTATGAACCGATTATATCGAAGAGCAAACTTAAAGTGAAGGCAGTGTACCGGTTGCTGCAAAAGGGCGAAATAAGGCATATGAAAACCATCACCGGTAAAACGGTCGAACTCACCGGTCATGGCAACTACATCTGCAGCATAGTCAACCGGAATATAGGAGCAATAAGTAAAATTAGGTTTTCCATTGCCAAACATACAGCCTCCATCTTGTGCCGGTCATTTATTCTGCCCATGTCGACTCCTGTATGGTATGGTAAGCAGTTATACCAGTCGTCTTGGCATATGAGCTGTTTTACAGAAAAGAGTAGTACAACTTGTTAAATAATTATATCTCACAGCCCTCCTCTTCCCCCCCCCCCCCTCCCCTCCTCATAGCTATGAGCTTGAGACGGACCTTATTCTAACATATCATTCCGCAACCCGTTTCGCCTCGGCCAGTTAGAGATCCAGCCCGCAAAATCCCACTGTGCTTCCATGGTGACATGGCATTAAACCACATGTCTTAATTTAGGCACAATCTGGATCGTGTATCTACTACACTAAAGCCACAATGCATGTAGCATTGCTGCATGTCCGAATGCAACCATTAAAATTCCGTACCATTCAGCACAGGCTAAATGGTGGGGAATCTTCTACTGATATTTAATGAAAGAAAGAGCTGTTGGCTTGGTGCGGTTGTGTCAGGTCAAATTTTACATTTCACAAAAGTAAGGGCGTGGTGCATGATAATACAAAATGTTCGTAAAAATCCCTCATGTTTAACACGGACGACGAAACTTTCGCGACCACCGGACGACGACACAGCCCACGTCCACTTCCTGAGCCAATCTCGATAACCAAGGGTCGTAGTGACATTAATCTTGCGCAGTCAGATAGACAGTCGCAAGGGCCCTGCGATAGTATCATATCGGTGGTGCCACGCCACACGAGGCACGTACACACGAAGTGAAAATATTAAGTCGTTCGTTTTTAGCTGATTTTTTTTCGTTTTGGGTTATATCTCGGCACGCAGTGCAGGTAGCGACGTGAATTTTAATTCCTAACATTCAAAATTGGAGCGGCCACATTTGCCGTGTGCATCGCGAGTTCGCGCAACGCATCGTTACGCTGCAAATTGCAATACAAGTTGCAAGCGGCAAGTTTTGTTGCAAGTTTTGAAAGTCGGCGGCAAATACAATCCGCTAACGTCAAAACTATCTGGATTTGAGTGTTGAAAAATATATCAGCGTATTGCCTGATTTATCGCCACTCCTCACCACCCTTTCGTTAACCACATTTTGGAATGGTTCGCTCGCAAACCAGCCAACGCTCCTGGGATGCATGGTGGGTCTTAACGCCGCAACGGAACAGCGCTGTTCAGTCCCTCGGTTGCCGCTGGCGGTTGTTCAAGGTGAAACAGCTGTCTTGATGACGTGTCTGGTTCCCTATTTCACTGCCTCCGACCGATCATGCCATTTCGAACCAAAATTTCGACAACGGTGGGTCGGAGCGACACGCGAGTGGCACGAAGAATGTACCATGCGAAATGGTATGTTCGCATGCATCACGTGGCACGCGCTCAAAGATGAATTTTGCTCCCTTCCGCGGGTTTACGCGTTTTGTGTCAAATATCGGCATCTAGGGCACGGAGCCAATGGGGGGGGGGGGGGGGGGGGTATGCATTGATAGGGGATCGAACAGACAACCACGTGACATAAATTGCAATGCCGCACGTGCTGTGAGTCACGTGTGCGCGAGCCAGGAAAACGTATTTGGTGGTAACCGGCCGTTTTTCACATTTTGTGCTGCCTCTCGACAGTGAGCTTACCGAGAACCGTAATTTGAACTGCAAAACGTACACAATTCCACATTCAGCGTTTTCATCTTAGCGCAGCAAAGCAAGCGTGCAAACGCTTCTCTACTTCTACTATTACATTAAAGGAACAACGGGTGTACGTACATTTCCGCCATCAGTCTTTGAGATCATGCGCATTTTAAAACGTCGGTAAGGATTTTTTAAAAAGAAATTTTCACCCTCCCAGGGGCTGCTGGCAGAGCGCGACAGTGTCACGTCAAATTTTTACATTTCGCAAAAGCAATTGTGTGATGAGAACAACAAAAGATCACAAAAGCCCCCATAGGTTTAACACGGGCGACGCGACGTCCACAACCACCGGACGACGGCACGACCCGCGGCCACGCCCTGAGCCGCATCTCGATAACCAAGGGTCGTAGTGACATGAAACTTGCACAGCCAGATAGACAATCGCAAGGGCCATTGGATGGTATCAAATTAGTGGTGCCACGCCGTACGTGACATGTGAAGACATGGTGAGAACACAGTATTTTCCTTTTTGACGAGTTTTTACGGTTTTGGTCATATCTCAGCACGCAGTGCAGGTAGAGGCATGAATGTTGTCTCTTAGCATTCACATTTGAAGCGGCTACACTTCCAGTGCACATCGCGAGTTTGAACAACGCACCGTTGCGCTGCAAATTTCAAGACAAGTTGCAAGCGGCCAAGTTTTAAAAGTCGACACTTATTACAAGCCGCTACCGCCAAAACTGTCCGGCATCGAGTGTCGAAATCAACACTAGGATGCCGGCCGATTCATTTTGTGTCTTCACCAACCTTTTGCTGCTCATATTTTCACAACTGGTTGGCTATCAAATAAGCTTAGACTAATTGGATGCATGGCGGCTTTAAACGCCGTGACGGAACGGCATTGTCCAGTGCCTCGGGCGCAGCCGACAGTTTTTTTTTTGGGGGGGGGGGTTAACGGCCGCCTGACCACGTGACTGGCTGTCGTAATTAACTACCTCCGACCGATTATGCCATCTCGCACCAATATCTTGACAACGGCGGGTCGGAGCGCCATGGGAGTGGCACGCAAAGATGTACTATGCTAAATGGCAAATTCGCACTCTTGAGTAGCACGCGCTCAAAGATGGATTTTGCTCTCTCCCACGGGTTTGCACGTTTTGTGCCAGATCTCGGCACCCATGACACGAGCCCACTCGGGAGTGGCACGCTTCGATAATGAATGGGAGGTTCGACTTGACAATGTGTAGTGACACGCCTCACGTGTCATCGGGCCCACGTGTTGAACTACGGATTTACATGTTCTAGCTATTTTGACGGGTTTATACATTTTTGCGTTATCTTGACACTCAGGGAATAAAGGGCGTCGAGTGTGGCATGCTCCGATAGGTAATCTAACGGGCAATGTCTCACACGTTTACAATGTGATGCTGCAGGCGTCACGTGACGCGTGCACATTACCTATGAGGATGTATTTAGCCGATTTCGTCGATGTTTACATTTATGCGAGATTTCCACTCTCAGGGCACGAAGTGACACGAGACTGGCATGCTGTGATAGACCATTGAACGGTAAATCCCACGGTGTCACAAGTGCGGGGTGACCGTTACACGCCTCGGCGACACACAAGTCAGCAAGATGGGTTTGCTCTCTTCCACCGGTTTACAAGTGTTGTGCCACATCTCGGCACCCATGGCACTGACATACGCGGAAGTGGCATGCATCGACAGGGAATCGAACGGGCGATCAATTAGCATAGGTTGTCATGTTGCACGTGCTGTGTGTGACGCGTGCACGAGCCAACAAGTGGGTTCGGCCATTTCCAACCATATTTTTAGTTACGTTCTGCAGCATATATCGGCATTTATGGCAGCTAAAACCATCAATCAGACTACAAAAAATAGATTATTCAAAATTCAACGTTTTCTCACCGAGTGTAGCGAAGCCAGCGTGCAAACACTTGCTGAGTGCTTATTTTAGACAAATATATGACACGTGTATGACAAATATAATATCAGTGTAATCAAATGCACAACATTGTTTGCCCATAACCAGTGATGGTGCCTTGAGAACAGTGATAAAAGCGCTTGGATTACACAATACCTATAGTACAAAAAGGCTGCCTTAACACTGTGATGTTGGTCTCAACTACAGCTGCAAAGAAGAGGGTGGAATTTAAAACGGCTCCTCACTACAATGTATGTGGTGTGATTGTGCGGGATGTGTGCGCACGCCCTCGCTGTCTCCCGACCTCTACATCTGACTGGGTGCCGGGGGCGGCGCGTGACTGCGTGTCTCCCGACTCGCCGGGGGTCAAGGGTCGGCCGCTGAGGCGGCGGCAGGCACCCGACGCTTGCAAGTGGCAGTCGGTTTTTGGACGCGTCCGGGCGAATATACGCTACTACAATGTACCAGTCATTTCACCCCTGCCTGACGGAAGGATTAATATACTGGGTTCGTATGTTGCACTGAATGAAGATCATTCGGCAATATTCCTTACGCTGCCCAAGACCTGAAACCTCTTACTTTCTGAGCCACACGTCAGCGAAGATGTACAGGCTTTTTGTGCAGGCTATTTCAAGGTCATTCATGCATCCAAGACGCCGTAGCAACGCCATTGAAATCTTGCCACCCATACGCCCCATGTCGTTCATGACCAATAAAGATTTTATCGTCGAGCCGTTCAAATCTGGTGTTCGTGAGCGTGACTTACAAAGCAAGTGAACGTCAATTTCTCTCAATCAGCGTTGAACGAGTTACGAAAGTTGCAAACAAAGATCACGTTTTGTGCTACATTATATAAAATGTTGGAATGATTGCTTGCTTGTTTACGGAAATAAGACTTTTGATTGAATATGGGAAGAAAAGCTCCATAACCGAGGACACAAATTCAAGTAAACATCTTAAACTCACGGATAAATATGCACGAGCGCAATGAGAGAGAGCGAGGACACGAGCACATAACCATGTTTGGCTCGCGAAACACTGCCAGCACTATTACTGCCATCTCTCGACGAGTTTGAAGTGATGCAAGTGAGTGCTGGGGTAGCAATTTCGCACGGCTAGTGTGCCAGAACCTTGTATGATACAAACGTTCCATGACGCAACAAAAATAACGCATTGAGGAACATATTTACTAAATAGAGAAGCTGCGTTGTTTACACCAGTATTTTCCACTTCAAAGCACACTAAATAGCTAACAGTGAGCTTATTCCAGCGGATCTATCTGCTTCTTCATAGCTGATCCTTTTTCAATATATTCAAATTCGGAACATCCCCGGTAAAGTCATATGTTGTATGGGTTTTCGTTCAAAAATTATTTTGTAGTACAGGAAAGGGAGACAATGCTAAAAAATGGATTTAGCGACTGTGTCAGATAAATGCAATTCACGAGCCCTAAGCCTCTTCAAGAAGAGTAAAAGAAATGACAATTTAAATGGCATGAAATGAGTTGCTCTACCAGATAATCAGTTTGCATTAACCAGTTTGCCAGTTTAAGGGCGTTGGTAGCACGCAAATATTGGCGCAGGTTTGCCGCCCATAGGCGACTAGGAGGCGTCTGGTGTGCTTGCTTATTCTTAGCATCGATAACGATGTATTGAGCTACTGAGTGGAAAACTGAACTTTCCTGAAAGCTGAACTTTGAAAGAGCCATCAGGGCCCATCGAGGTTAGCCCTCCTCAGGTTCCGCACACATCCTCGAAGCTAATCTTACCACCTGACTTGTACGATTTAAGCTATAAATAAAATATCTTAAGACTGATAAAATTTGTTCGATAAGTTTTTAAATGTTACTAGAGAGGGACCTCCTACAACTTCGTTTGTCAGTTCACCTCAATGGTTCACTGCTTTTTGGCTAAATGACATCTGCCTCTTCATAGCTCTTCTCCTGCCTTTTCCTAAATGAAACTGGTTTCCTCTATGTATCGACCTGATTTCCAGTGCTCTATTTGGATCTACCTTGTCTATCCCTTTCATCTTATCGAATACCTCTATCAGATCTTATCTAAGTCTACGATAGTTCAGTTTCATTACGAATCCAAGGCCCTCAGCCTATCCTTATGATTTAAGACGTCAATCCTATCTACGAATTCCAACCAACGAATATGCCAAGAAATGATATACCAAAGAATACGAATATGGCTGATTTTCTCCATGATGACCGACGCATGGCGGGCCGCACCGTTAGCCGGATGTTTTGCGATTGGACACGCCAGGAAGTAAGGAGGCATTGTGGTAGCTGCAATGCCTTAAGACGCACCCGTGCCTTAATTACATGGTTGGACAAGCACATACCACCACTGCCTTACTCGCCCGGTATTTTGACACGTTCCGTGACTCTGGGGACTAAGTCTGTGTCGTGCTTTCTTGCGCTCCATCACTTTCAGGTTGTGGACAACAGCTGAAGGTGACTGTCATGTTCCAGATGACGGTGACTATGCAGCTTCTAGTGTTGCTATGCGCACTAGGCCTTATGTTCGGCACAGCAACAGCCGCAGGGGATTCTATCGTGTCGACCAAGTCGGGAGATGTCCGAGGCGTTGGGATGAAGTCCTTCCTTGGGGAGGAGTATTTCTCCTTCAAAGGTAAGGGATGCAAGTGGTATGTTGCAAATTGGTTGTTCCTTGTCAGGAATAAACTTACAACTCGGTAGGCATACGATTGAAGGGGACATCAATTTGACGTGAATCGCACTTGATCTAAGTAGCCTTAGACAGCCTGATTCTTCGACTGCGTCAAATTAGGGCTGGAACTAGGAATAATATCAGTGCGGGAGGAACGAGGCCCAGAACTGAACTAGTAAGTAAACTTATAGGCGATTTGCGAAGAGGCGAAAGGCGAAGGCGAGTTTACGAAAACGAATCGCACGGACCACCTCAGCTAGGTGCCCCTTTTGTGTTCTCTGTCGTATTATGCCTAGTATTGTGAGAAGCAGATGACTCGGCATTTGCAATAATAGCAGGAGTGACTGTGACGCGAGCGAGTAATCGTGCTTTCAGTGGCAATGGGAAACTAGACCTTTTTATTCGATGACTTTGTCCAATGATGGCTTCAAAAAGATATTTATCCCTAAAAGGGAATGATCCATGTTTGCAGGCATTGAAGCAATCACTACATATGACGAAATGAGCTCATTCATGCCTAGTGATATACTTTAGATTGAAAAAGACTGCTCTAGACAACAAACTTTCTATATTTAGTGAGTATACCCCTCAATGCGTCATTCTTTGATGGCATCAATGAACGTTTGCATGACGCCAAGGTGCTGCAAAACTAGCCGTGCGAAATTGCAATCGTAGCACCCACTTGTAGTTCTTCAATATCCCGATAGGTGGCTGTGGCGGCGCTGGGTATTTACTGAACCAAATATCTTAATGTGCTTGTATATTAGCCCTTTCTTGTGGTGTTCTTGCATATTTAAATGAGAGCTTAAGTTTTATTGTAATCACACACTTATCTATGACACCATTCTTAATTCATTCTATTGCAAATTGCATGGGCGCAGCCAGAGCCTTGGCGAGGGAGGCACAGGGCTAACAAAGAACACCCTGATAGTAAAAGGGCTCCCCCAAAAAATGCGGATATGGCCTATCACCCCCGCCCCCACCCCTACCCCGCCTCGTACTGGAATCCCTCCTGCTTTCATAATAAATTCAATCATGTAAAGATGAGTGCGGTGTGCACTTTTGTATTGACTCCAAATCTGACATATGATTTACCAAAAGCACATGCTACGTTATGCAAATTACTTTCAGCAAAGCACACAACCAATAAGTGACGTCACTTGCTCTGCCTGTTTTGTGGATCCACAAAAAATAGGTGACAATGATGCAAACACGTCTTTGGCTTCCGCGGCCATACAACATGCTGCAAGCATCAGGCTGCTTTACTCAAAAATATTGTTCACACAAGTAATAACACTTGCATAACATGAAAATGACACTGCAAACCTGCCGACCTCGCACAACGCTGGAGACATGACAAGGGCATGTAGTTATGGTTAGATGGGGGAAATCCAGGGAGGTGCTGAAGCTGCGTGTGCATACAAGGCTCATGATAAAATATAATTAAGTGCCACCCAAGAAACCAACAGCCATGCTTCTCCACCTTTCTCAGCATCCAGCATCTCAGACAATTTTTCACAGTTGTATCATGCGAGTTTGTACCAAGCATGTGCATTAACGAGCTGTGCTGACCTTTTCCTACTGCCCAGATGAATTGCAAATATCATGGCGTGCAATCTATTAATTACGGGCTGTAATACCTCAACAGGCTCAGAATGTTGGCAGGATCACAATGAAGTAGCAAACTGCCTTTGAACACCCCCAGCAGCATGGGTGGTAGTGTTTCGTTCAGTTTACCAATATCAATACTTTGTCATGTTTAAACACAAAATCTAAGATATAGGGCAGTGTCAATATATCACATCTTATTGGAGGTCATTATATTTAAAGAATATCAAAATACTGTTCTCTCTCATAGGTGCAAACATCGCAAGCACACTCTCTGTCACATCAAGATCAATACAGGCCACTGGCACGCACCACAAGTGATCACACCCATATCAAGCCCCTGATTCACACTCTAATGTCAATAAGTGTGATCCGACACTTGCAACACCCGCGTGATTATCAAATTGCAGGTTTTCTCGCAATGTCCGCACAGGTTTTTGGTTATAATGCAACATTTCACAGTGACCTCCTTTCAAAACAAAGTCCCAGCGGGGGTTCATGGTGGTCGTACTTGTCTTACACAATTGTTTGCTCAAGATTTGAATTTGTCGTACAATATGGGTGAAATGTTTAGTATTATATATATATATATATATATATATATATATAAACTAATTACTGTAATATTTCCCTAATTGTATAACGCCTTGCTAACCCATAAATCCGTGCAAGGTGCTTTGCTCCGGTACACAAGGCGCCAGTCGAGCTGTCTGTAAGAAATACGTCAGTGGAAGAATAAAAGAAACGCCAGTAGGAGAAAAAAAGCATATTTGTCGTCGCGTCTTCTTTTTATAACAATCGGGAAAGTGCCGTTCTTTTTCCGATGCCGTATTTTTGAGACATTGGCGTGCTCTTTTTTAAAACATTGATCTATGGCCTAGAAGTAAGGGAAAATGTCCCGCTGACGAGTGGCGCACAACCCGAAGGTGCTCACGTTTACGCTCGTGACAGGTATTTAGCAGCGAAGTCTTACTAACAGACAAGCACCTTCAGCGGATTGTATGATACGTGCCGTACCACCGCTTTTCTGAATGTATCAGCGGCCATGCTGTTTTGACAATAAGCAGAAAACAGCCTGTAATATAGCGGCGATCGTATGACGTTTCTATGGTGACATCAATGCCCAGATGACTGAAGTGGTCTCCCAATAAACCTTTTCCCACTTTTGCGGACGTGTAACTCAGGAACCAGAGGGGTTTGTGTCTTAAAAAAGGCATGGCCGTGAACTGCATCTAAAGGTCCTCAAGATGGCTATTTCAGTTAAAACCTCCCATGTAAGGCGGAACATTCCCTTTAAGGAATGTGAGAATTTGAGTGGCGGTATTAGGGCGTCATGAACACCTGGATGGTCTTGAAACTGTATCCCGAAACATTCTGCATGTCTTCGCGGGCGTGTAGCCCAGAAACTATAGTGGTTAGGGTCTTAAGAAGGGCATGCTGTTGAGCTGCACCGAATGACCTTCAAGATGGTCATTTCAGTTCGAAGCGCCTACAAATATGGCTTCATGTCCAACATATGTGGTAGTCTCCCGACATTATGGGTTATGAAAGAAAGGGTACCACATACGCATAAGGTTTTTAAATTGAAATAGCCATCTTGAACATAATTCGGTGCAGTTCACAGCCTTGCCCTTCTTTAGACCTAAGCCCCTTTAGTTTCTGAGCTACGCACGCGCGAAAATGTACCATATTTCGTGTAGACAACTTCAAGGTCACCCATCCACGACGCCATGATAAAATCCTTCATGTTCTGCCATTACATTGGCCATGTGGCGATTATGGCCAATAAAAACCTAGCTGTCGAATTGTTCCTACCTGGCGTTCGTGAGCACGATTCACAGATATAACGGTTGTGTGTTGGTTCTCAATGGTCTCTCAATCAATATTGTGCGAGGTACGATGACGGAAACAAATGTTGACGCATTGAGGAGCATGTTTACTAAATAGAGAGGCTGTGTTGCTTAGAGCAGTTTTTCTGCTTAAACGCATGCTAATGATTAAACATAGTCTTATTTATTTTTGTCAGATGTCTTCATATGTCTTCGCTGTGACTTGACTGTGATATGACTTCAATGTCTTCAAATGTGGAACATTCCCTTTTATGACAAAACTTGGTTCGTGATCAAGACGTGCAATAAGCAGCGCAATCTGGCTGTAAGTCAGTGACTCTCTGACTTTGTGACACTCGGTGCTGCATCCACGCAACCCCAAATGTTTAAAGGGAGTGCTCAACAATTGTATGGTGTTTTCAACTGAAATAGCCATCTAGAAGGCCATTCGGTAAAGTTCAGATTTCTGCCCTTCTTAAGACCTAAACCCGCTTAGTTGCTGAGCTACACGTCCGCAAATATTTGCAGAATATTTTGGGGAGACATTTTCAAGGTCACCCGGGCATCCGTGACGCCATAATAACATTATTCTTAACTTCTCCTTCCATTTCCTATGCGGCGATCAAGGCCGAGAAAAATATGGTAGTTAAGTCTTTGAAATCTGGCGTTCGTGAGCCTGATTTCCAGACATAACGGTCATCAATTAGCTTGCAACCAATGCTGTGCAAGGAATGATGGCGTCATTTACCAATGACGTAGTGAGGAGCATACTTACCGAACAGGAGAAATTGTGTTGTTTAGGGCAATCTTCTTCACTTAAAAGTATACCAAAATTTGACATGGGCTTGTTTTACCATATCTGATGCTTGCTTCAACATCTTAAAGATATGGAACATTTCCTGTCAACAACCATAGTTTCTCACCTGTTTAAGACATCATACATGTCTCGGGGAACTTCCCATAGGTGGCACGTAGTATGGTGCACCAGCACGCATGGGTCAAGCTCAGAAGTGAAAGGGATTGAAGTCAGAAAAAGCGTGTGGCTTTCAGCTGCGGGGAATGGTTATGGCAATAGCTATATCCGCTTGAAACATGATGCAAATGTGGAAGAAGTCCTTAACTGTTGCAGGGATAGCCCCATTGAAAACCATATTTCAGAATTCCGTACGTAGCGGTGCAAAATTCAATCATCGTGGCAGCTTCGTTTTGCCACTCATTTCCGTCCCAGTTGGTGCCGAGGCATCTGCTTCATCACTGGTCGTGGGTAGACATTTATGCAATGAAGAAATCCGAGCGAGTTGTGGCTACCTTGATGACGTCATAACGCCCCGTCCGCAGGCATTCCGTACGCCGAGCCTCCGCTGGGGCCGATGCGGTTCCGGGCGCCACAGCCTCACCCGGGCTGGACGGGGGTCCGTGACGCCAAGGACCACGGCGACGTGTGTCTGCAGTACGACGTGTTCGCCGGTGGTGTGATGGCCGGCTCTGAGGACTGCTTGTTCGTGAACGTGTACACACCAAGCCTACCCACCTCGGACAAGCATCCAGACCTGCCGGTAATGGTGTGGATCCATGGCGGGGGTTTCATCAATGGCTACGGAGACGCTGAATTTTACGGCCCGGACTATTTCATGGACGAGCAGGTGGTGCTGGTGACCTTCAACTATCGTCTTGGGCCGTTCGGCTTCCTAACCACGGCCGACGCTCACGCCCCCGGTAACTACGGCCTGCATGACCAGGTGCTTGCCCTTGAGTGGGTGCAGGCCAACATCGAGGCGTTCGGCGGCAATCGCGACGACGTCACCATCTTCGGCGAGTCGGCCGGCGGCGCCAGCGTAGGCCTGCAGGTGCTGAGCCCGCGCTCGCGGGGCCTCTTCGCCAAGGCCATCAGTCAGTCAGGAGCGTCGTTCTGCACTTTTGGTGCCAGCGGAAAGCCTCAGGGTCAGGTGGTTCGACAGCATGCTGAGGTGCTGGACTGTGATACTACCAGCAGTCAGACTATTGTAGAATGCCTCCGTCAGAAGCCCGCCGAGGATGTCCTGTCGGTCATGCCGAAACTAGCCCCGGACGCCCCATTGGGAATGGATATCCTCTACAAGCCACGCGTGGATGCTGAGTCGTCGTCGCCGTTTTTACCTGAGAACCCGTACGTGGCTCTGAAAGAGGGTCACTTCAACAGGGTGCCCTGGATGAATGGGCTGAACAGCGACGAGGGCGCATTTTCCGTCGTCTTTAAAGGCATTGGGAGAAAGGTACCACCCTATGAAAGTCGCGATTGGGATATCTGGGCTAAGGAACTGCTCGAGATCTCCCAGGTGACGGCAGACCCGGCCGCGATGGCCCAGCGCATCTACAGGTACTACTTTGGCGATGACCCGGTGACAGGCGCCAACCTGAACCTGCTGGTGGACATGTTGACAGACAGAGGGTTTGCCTGTTGCATATCTAGTGAGATAGAGCTGGCCTCTGCTCATACCAACGTGTACAAGTACATGCTGGATCACTTGGGGCCAGGCAAGCAGAACTTTGTCGAGGTCCTGACCAAACTCATGGGGCTGGAGGACGCCAAGGATATGGGTGTGTCACATGGGGAGGACGTGATGTATCTCTTCAAGGTATCAATCGCTGCACCCATAACACCGGACTCGGACGAGTACAAGATGATTCGATTCATGGTGTCGCTGTGGGCCAACTTCGCCCGCCGCGGGTACCCGAGCACTGACGTGGTGCCCATGCCCAGCTGGCCGATCTACACGGTCAGCCGTCAGGAGCACATGCGACTCAACCTAGCGCCGTCTGTGGGCCGCGCCGCTTTCAGTGAGCGGATGCAGTTCTGGCAGCAGCTCGACATCCAGGAGAATTGGCGCCAGCCACAGATGGGACAGCGCAGGGATGAGCTTTGAGCGACGCTATCCAACAATGCTGAGCTTTCGAAGGCGATACCAAACCCTGAAAACGGGCTGCGTAATCGGCTGCAGATTCTAGAGCTGGCGTTGCGGACTTTTGAGCCTGCAGGCCAGCAGAGCCCTGGGAAGGAGCTCAAAAGTGTTATCTCTAGTCCACAACAGTTGACAGCTGCAGAATCTGCGGTGGGTGCTGCAGCCAGCTGCAAGGTGTGAACCAGCCTTGGTGCGCACCGAATGTATGTAAACATGTTATCGATAGCTGCCACATAAAGACGCTATACGTCTTTGTTAACGTCTTCCGCCCAGAAACCAATGCATTGTAAGCAAGTGTCTGCCGCTTCTCATATGTCGCAAACCCTCTTTTATTGCTAAACCATGTTGTAAATGTTGTGCTCCGTAATGTCAACATATGAACGGCTACATGTCGCAAGTTCTTGATGGAACTCCGTTCCGCTGACATCTCCCCCTTAACAGCTTGGATTTTAGAAAGTGGGTTCGTTCTTCTTCTGTACAAGCTAATACAACTTGTAATAAAAATAACGTGTGGTTTTCCCTGTTGTGGTGCGATGCATTCACTTTATTACCATAGATGCATACGATTGACACTTTCTTCGGAACAAATTACAGGCGTTAAACTCGATGAAGAAGTGCAGATCAGTGTTTAGTGTCGCAAGTTGCCTGGATATGGGCAATGGGGTGTGTTTTGAGTAAAAAATTCAAGTGAGACAAAATAATTCCTTGGCGCTGGAGCCCAAAAGTACGCGGCATATCAAAAGTTCTTCCCAAAAACTTTAATTCGTGACGCGCGGGTCGATCGAAATATTGCTGTAAATCAACGTCCTGCGTTGCGGTCACTGTATGTTGGGCGGCGCGGGTAGCCGCATGTAACACCAAGCCGCGGGCGGCAAGCGATATAAAGTAGGTCCGCGTATGGGAACAATGCTACCGAGCTTCTTAAACCGTTGTGGAGAATGTCCCGGTCTGAGGCCTAAGATTGGGATTAGTAATTGCCCGATTGGTTGTCATGTGGCAGAAACTTCAGGAGTTCTTGAGTATGAGGTCGTACGTATGTTTGTTCGTAATGCTTTAGGCTTTCACTTCTCGAAGACAACTCACGTGCTGCGAACAAAGTCATGCAAAACACATGCCTCGGAACACAGTACTTGGTGCGCAACTTAATATAGACAGCAAGGACTGCAGTCTGCACCAGGGGCGTGGAGCCTGGTTAGGGTGATCCCATTTACAACTTGCCCAGCCGAGCAAGTATTCAATATACCGGCCCAAACAGCAGTTACTCGCGCCGAGGCTGGTGTGCATTTGGCGAGTTCGGCGGCGAAGGGGGAACTCAAGGATTAGGGGAAGTGGGCGAAAAGGTGGGAAGAAGGAGAGGAGAAAGGAGAACAGGTGGCCTCGGTGACAGGGCAACGCCCAAGCGCAAAAGTGATATATGTTCCACTCCACAAAGTCATCTGCATCACCTTAGTTTTGCTGCTTGAAATCGCGTGTATGACTGGGAGGTATTGGACCCTGTCGCGGCCGGTGGTTTCAACTGAGCTCCCCGGCTCAGGCTACTTACTGAATTCGAGTTTGTTTCTTGGTCGCGGGTAGGTACGGGGCGGGCTTTGCAGCTGCCGACGGCGGCAGGCAGTGATACTGTGCCGGCAACAGAGACACTCGGCCGCATGGCGAGTCTGCGGACACATAATCCTGTACAAGCGAGACGATGCTGGCGGTCCCGCCCTTTGACAATGGCTATGGACGCTCTTCCCGGTGCAGGAGTAGCAGACACGACCACACATCAACCTTGCACACGATTCATTGACAGAAAAGGCATTTAGCAATAGCTCCAAACGCATCTGTAACTGAAGTCTACTTGGCGTTATGGCATGACTTTGGTCTAAACTGATCTTAGTGACCGGACAAAAGCTTTACATTACGTTTGAACTGGTATGTAGAAGGCGTGCTGCCGTCATTATCGGCAAGATGGCAGCGCTTCGCAAATTGTCAAGTGTATTCGCGTGGAGCATTGTGCACGTAGATAAAATAGTAATAATAGCTTTAGTCGTCAAAGAACAAATGGGAAAATAGAGAGATAAATGTGATGTTTCGGCTATGTGCGTTTATCGAAAAGAATATCGAGTACTGCTGAGAGTACCACTATCGAGACGCAGTACTGCTGTCTGTAGGAGCACCGCACCAAGTGCTGGTCAAGCGTCTCGCTCTCCGGTCTACTCTCTTTCGAAGGACCGTCCAGCATGCGGACAGCGGTCGGACGGAGTGATGCGGAGGCGGCGACGCCGGCGGCTGCCTACCCATGGTCTGCTGTTCGATCACCTGCGGCAGATGTATTTAGAGGGGCTGGGATAGAAGCACAAAAATCATGGCATGGTTGAAAAGAAGACGCAGTGCATCCTGTAATCTTACATGCATTTCAGTTTGCATATTGACCAGTTGACACCAACATAGATAGCTGAAGATTCGAGCGATTATGTAGAAGATTGAATTCGAAACGGGAGTCTGACAATTTCGAGGGTGTGATTAGTTAGTAAGTACAAACTTACCTTCAGAGCATATCTGTCTTAGAGCTGACGCTGGGGAGAATCTGGCGTTGCCTGAGCTTGGCCGAGATGAGGCTTTTCTGCGCCTCTTCTCCCACCTCTGCCGAACACGCCTCGGTGACGGTGTGTACGGCCCTCTCCACCGCCTGGATGTGAACCGGACAGGGCGAGATGGCCAGCGGAGCCTGTAGTTTGTCCCGCAGCTCGCCGTCGCTGACGTCTCGCAGCGGGGTCTGTGTGACTGGTCCGCGCCAGGGGATCAGTTCGGTGTGCCTCATGGCCCCGAGGTCTATGGCTGGAATGGTGAAGACCGTAGGCTGAAGAAGACCCTCGGCTTGCTGCTCACGCGCGGCGCGGTGATCCGAACCGTCCGCTCGCGGACCACACGGTCCTCGTTCGCCACCATGAGCAGCAGCAGCTGCTCCGGACGGCGCCAGTGCTCGTTGCGCTGGAGGACTGGCTGCAACGTAGCCTGTGTGTGCTGCGGCGGCTTGCGGAGCAGCGCGATGAACCGGACTAAGTTCCGTGGGCCAAAGTCGCAGCTGCTCTTCTGCTGGATGGCAAACCACACCGTAGTGTCCAACCACGCACTGGACGAAGTCCTTGAGGGCGCTGCTGGAGGTCTTGATAGAGATGCATGCAGCAGTCAGCAGGCGAGCAGCGAATGTCATTCATCTGAAAACAAAAGCGAATAGATTAGAACAATTTTTGCGAAATGGGCATTAGATCATGCAAAAATTGCTGCGTCCCTTTAGTGTATCCAATTATGCCTTATAGATATCCATTCAGGGCCCTTAAATGTAACGGAATGGATGTCGGCAAATACACTAGGAAGCATGAACCACAGGGCAAATGATACAACATGCTGTCGCACAACGTATGATAGTGAATAAATGCTCAACAGTGAGCACATGAAACACCAAATGATATGCATCAAATTTAAATCATGCATTGTCATCGATTCGAAGATAATGCGCGTCATACTACCTGACATGGTTCGATGGGCCGATTCACCGCCGGGCTGTCGCGGCCCGAACGGAGCCGTTTTGAACTCCGGCGGTCAGCAGGTACTGCAGCTGCTAGTCGGTGCTCAGCTGCTGGATCAGATCGACCGGTGGGTTTGGCACGTACCCCGGCATAGGTTCTCTCCCAGACCTCTCCGGCGCAGGTCTCGCCGATGGGTCCAGAAAAGGCTTTCCGTCCCGTGCTCGTGCTCTTCAGGCTCAGCAGCAGGTGGCGGAGGTTCAGCTCGTCGCCGTGCAGCTGGCAGACGAACCGGTGCACAGGTGACTGAGTGGCCAGTCCAAACAGCCGGAACACGCGGCCTGTCGTCCCAGTGTGGACGACTGTGCCATTGCAGCCGAGCACATTGACGTGACCATCGCACTGCAGGCCCACGGAGTGTGAAGCTCGCTGAGCAAGACGGGGCGCGGCCAGACTCGGACGTGAAGTGAGTCACGAGGCGGCCGTCTGTCTCAGCATGACACCCATGTTTTCGACGGCATTCGCGTGGCTGTGTGTGTAGCTCACGTCTTTACGGCCGTCGAAGTAGCCGATGGTCAAACCTGATTTGTAGATTGATTTTGCACTTTGGTCAACCGTCTCCTTTCTTGCTCTGTCTCTTGTGCGCCAGATCTTCTCAGGATCTACGATATTTCATTTCGGGCAGCCAGTCCGTCTCTGCCGTCTTGTTGGAAGGTGTCTGTGATAGCAGCTGCGGCCCGGTTTGAGCCACGCGTAGCTGTCCATCACAAGAGCGGTGTTAGTCAGATCGCTAACGGTACTATCTTCAGTGACTGCGGTCTGACCCGGATGAACAATGGAGTCGTCACAACCTTCTACCATGCACGGAGCCGTGTCAGAATCCGTGCTCTCGGTCGGCTTGCCAGCACTGAGACCACTTGGTCCCGGCGCATGCTCGAGTTCAGCACTAGCAGCCGGCGCTGGCTCAGCAGGCGACTCGGGCTCAGCAGCCGGTGAGGAAGGCGACTCAGGGTCAGCAGCACACACCGCTCACTGACGGCCGAGCCAAGACGCCGCTGGAGGTGTTTGACCATCCTCTGCACCTCGCAATCGTCCCTAGTCACAGACATAGCCGAGTCATATGGCTCCAGGGTAAACTTCTGGTGCCTGCGCTGGTCCTTTAAGAAGGCAACGTCCCCTTGCTGCACTCTGTGGGCAATAGGGCATTGGGAGCTGCGCTGGGGCTTGCGCTTGCATCTCGCGACGTCGAGAAGCTTGTTCTATTTCGCGGCGGCGCCGTTGTAGTTTTCCTCTCTTTTGTTCTTCGATTCCTTGCTGATAGTTCTACATGGATCATATCGATTCCTCTTGATAACTTTCGTCAAGTATTTTAGACCATCAACGGGGATCATTTCGTTGGTCTTCTGTTCCCTGATTTTTTCCGTCACGGTTCTAAATCGTTTTCGAGTGAGAAATTTCTGCCATGAGGATGACAAGTATTTGATTCGCTCAGCCGCCTGATGTAAACCAAGGCTTTCCCGTAGTTGGCAGTTGGTGGTGGGATGGATGGAGAAGCCGGGTGGCCTATTACAAAATGTTTTGTGCGTAACCGTATAGCCTTCGGCATGCTTATCCAAGAAATTGCTCGAGTTAAATGTTTCAGTACCGACAAACCTAAATTAATAAACACTTATCACCTACACAACTAGCATATAAACTGCAAAATCAACATCACAATGATGTATAAACAATCGCAACCTTCGGCTAACCCCCGTCTGCTGGCGCACTCTCAAAACTGCACAGTTCTGCCTTTCGCCAAAAGCTGATGTTTTCAAATAAAAGACAAACTTAATAGCGGTTGGCAATGTTTTGCTGGTGTTCTGAGGGCATCCATTCCATACTTAATCCACCAGGTACCAGTAGTGCGGAAAGTTAAAAGGTTGAGGCTTGCCGGAAGATGACGCTACTGCGTAAAATAGGTGGCGCTAGTATTCCATACGATTTTCTTGGCCCATTGAAA